AGACCAGAATTCCCTATTCCCCAATCCCTACACCTCCCTACCTCCCCTATTTCTTTTCCTATTCCTACTCTGGCTTATTTCTTTTTTCCTCTTTTTACATATTTATTTTTAATCAGCACTAACATATCCTTAATGAATATATCCAAGTATCTCATATACTCAAGTAGTATTGTCAGTTGTGGATACACAGAGGTTGATTTACTAAAACCGGAGAGTGAAAAATCTGGTGCAGCTCTGCATAGAAACCAATCAGATTCCAGGTTTTATTGTCAAAGCTTAACTGAACAAGCTGAAGTTAGAAGCTCATTGGCTACCATGAACAGCTACACCAGATTCTGCATTCTCCAATTTTAGTAAATCAACCCCATTGTGTTACTTCTTTCCTGAACAAGGGTCTTCATTGCAGGGTAACCAGGTGTTTTTTCCTGAAAACTGGAGATTTAAAATGACTGAAAATTATTTAAACATTACCATAACACTATTAATGCATTTTATAATATAATAATATATTATATATTTAACCAGTTCCCGCCCAGCCAATAATAAAATGACGACTGGATGGAACTTTCGTTGATCCGGATGGATGTCATATGAAGACCTCACGTGTGCCCATAGAGCTGATGACCGATTTGTGTACTGGCCCATTGACCAATCACAGCAGGTCACATGACAATTGTAAACAATGGATGGCTTCCTTTCATCATTTCATTCATTGTATACTATTGTGTTGCTACCTGTGATTGGTCACAGTAATCATATGGTACAGACTGGGCCAATCACAGCCCATCTGTGCCATGTGATTACCTATGGCCAATCACAGCTAATCACAACAAAAACACTATGGTAGACCATATGGGAATACATAAACCACTCTATGCCTGGCCTATTGTAATATGACAGCCATGTGACACTTTCCTTCTTCTTCCCAGAACGTGCCCTGCACACAGCCATGCAGCCATGCTGCTGGGTCCATCGCAGGTACCATGGGATCGCTGTGACCAATCATAACAGATCACATGACAATTGTAAACAATGAATGGCTTCGATTCATGCCATTCATTGTGTACAATTGTGTTGCTAGCTGTGATTGGTCACAGTGTTCACATGGTACAGACAGGGCCAGTCATAGCCCATCTGTACCATGTGATTAGCCGTGGCCAATCACAGCTAATCACAACAAAAACAGTGAATGAATCGATTTCATTCAGTTAAATGCTTGCCTATAGCAGTGAAATGCATTGCTACAGACAATCAAAATATCTAAAAGAAAAACTACTGATCACTTCCCCAGAGTAGTACAATGTTACTTGTTACAATGTTACAGAGTAGTACAATGTAAAAAGTGTGTGTGTGTGTGTATATATATATATATATATATATATATATATATATGTATATGTGTGTGTGTGTGTGTGTGTTTTTTCACACAGTCAGCAGTCAGTTATATGATGACACTGCACTGGTGACAGTATATAAAACAAAATGGTGACTTTTTTTTTTTTTTTTATTCTTCAGCTTCCAAAAAATTGGGACAAAAAAGTACAATATCAAAAAACTTGCCACATCTCTCACTAAATACAGCAGACTGTATACTTTCCAAAAAGGGGTCATTTGGGGGATATCTGCACCATCAGACACTTTTGGGCCTCAAGAAATGAGATCAGCACATCAGGATTGATCGATTTTCAGACATATACCATAGTTTGTAAACTCTATAACTTTCCTACAGATTACATATTATATACTAATTTGGGTTATTTTTCACCAAATAAATGTAGCAGAATACATTTTGGTTTAAATTTATGAACAACAATTATTTATTTGCAAACTTTTACAACAGAAAGGAAGAAAAACTTTTTTTTTTTTTCAAAATTTGTGGACTTTTTTTGTTATTTTAACAAAAAATAAAAACCACAGTGGTGATGAAATAGTACCAAAAGAAAGTTCTAGTTGTGTGAACAAAATGATAAAAATTTAGTTTGGGTACAGTGTCACATGACCACGCAACCTTTCAATCAAACTGTGAGACCGCTGAAAGCTGAAAATTGGCATGGGCAGGAAGGGGGCAAAAGCATCTATTTAAGTGGTTAATATAATAAAATAGTAAAGTATTAAAATAATATAAAAAGTAATATAATGATATATTAGCTTGAGATTTTCGTGATTGTGTTTAGATCTCCTAGACTTGCTTTGTGAACCATCTCCAGCAAATGTACAAATTTTTTGTGGGGTAAAGTTTGATGTCATTAACCACTTCCCGACCGGCCGTTGCATATAAACGGCCGGACGGTGGCACTGCAGGGTCGGGTGGCCGTCTATAAACGGCCTCCCCGCACCCTGCTTGTGCGCGCTCCCTGGGAGCGCGCGCAGCACCGCGATCCGGTGCCCGCTGTGTCCTCCGGACACAGTGAAACACCGATCGTCGGACGGGACCTCTGTACGAGGTCCCGATCATGTGATCACTGATTGGCCAATCAGTGATCACATGCAAAGTAGTAAGCAAGATGTCACTTGTGACATCATTGCTTACTACGTGTGAAATCTGTGAATGATCACAGAGGTCACATGGTACAAGCCTATTCACAACAGGCTTGTACCATGTGACAAGCTGTGACCAATCACAGCTCAGTCAGTAATTCTCAATGACTGCAGGAATGCACACAGAGAGAAAGAGAAATGATTGCTTTTATATCCTATATGGTTGTAAAAGCAATGTGTAAAAAAAAAAAAAAATTATCACCCCCCCACAAGTAGTACAGTGTCACCATGGTGACACTGTACTGCTAGGGTGACAGTATGTAAAAAAAAAATAAAAAAAAAAAAAAAATAATATAAAAAAATAAAATAAAAATGTAAAAAAAAAATGTTTAAAAATTATAATTTTTGTTATAAACTAATTTGGATTTTTTTTTTTTTACTAAAAAGATAACGGAATAAATTTTGGCAAAGATTTATGATGAAATATTCATTATTTGCAAAATTTTATAAAAAAAAACACTTTTTTTCAAAATTTGTGGACTTTTTCATTTACATAGCAAAAAAAAATAAAAATCCCAGCGGTGAATAAATACCACCAAAATAAAGCCTTATCTGTTTCAAAAAAATGGTAAAAAATTCATTTGGGTACAGTATTGCATGACCGCGCAATTGTCATTCAAAGCGTGATAGCGCTGAAAGCTGAAAATTGCCCTGGTCAGGAAGGGGGTAAAAGTGTCCGGTCTTGAAGTGGTTAAGGACAGCAGTTGGAATTAGCAATTTTAACAGTATCCTTCAGGCGAACAGGATTTTTTAATTCTGTACAGCCAGTTTTGTTATCCAGCTATCAGGGATTAGTTTTGTGATCTGTGACGGCTCCAGTTTCAACTAGTAATCAAGAACTAAAATAGTTATGGCATGGTGATCAAATGAAGTTTGTTAGCAAACATTTCTCTTCCAGTGCCAGAAGTCACAGAATTTCTTTCTGTGCTTAATATGAGCCCGGGTTCACACTGATGCGGTGTGGAATTCTCAGTGTTTTCTGTGTGAATTTTTGTCGCATCAGAATCGCACCCCATTCATGTGAACCGCTGCGGGTGTGTATGTTAAGTTAACAACACCCTGAAATCAGTTTGCAAAATGCAGTGTGATGTGCAGAATCGGATCGCATGTTTATTCACACCTATGCGATCCGATTCTGCACATCACACTAGTGTTGTCCAAAAAAAGGGTTCTGCACCTTTTTGGTGCGTATGCGGTGCGATTTGAGCCATACAAAATGTATGGCTCCAATTGCATCCCACACAATTCGCATGTGATTTGCACAGGAATGCGGTGCGGTTCCTGTGTGAATCACATGCAATATACCGCACAAGTGTGAATCCAGCCTCAATCATTTAAAAGCTGTTACAGTGTTAAAAAAAAAAAAATGTTCCCGTGTATCAAACCTGAGCACAATATTTATTACATCAGGGTACAATTAATAACCTTAGTCCTTAAAGTGAACCTGTGCCCAAACCATGCATTGTATAACTTGGTCTCCTCTCTCTGTAGCCATAAGCGCTGTGAAGAAATGTGTCTTCAAAGTTCACAACAGAGGCACAGAAAACCATTTTTTTTCTATTGCTTTCTACTTCATCAGAATCCTTCTGCCATCCTTCTAATGTTAGCACACAGCAAATGTTTCTAAGCTGCTAGAAACTGACTAAAACCCAGCTTTAGAGTTTTTGTTGTGATCTTTAAGGGTCTTGAGAATAAATTACTCCATAGTAAAAAGCAGCTATAGAGGTCATGGATGGTTTGCTTGAAAGTTCTTTTACTATTTGTTAAGATAATCTTAAAAAAGCAGAAAAAAATATTTAGGTTTAAAAAGTAGTCATGGAGCTTTCATCAATTTAACTGACACCTACTAATGCTGCTAAATTTTTGGGCATCTTTGCATCAGTGATCTCTAGTTATGAAGGGGTTAATGTTTTCTTTGCAATGCTTTTTGTTATATCCTAATTCCAGGACCTTACCTCTACCTGTGTACCATCTACCTGTTCGAGTTGACATTTTCTCAATATCCTTTTTTTATATCTACAGTATATCCTATCAAGTCAAAATAATTCTACATCATTTCTTGCTATTAGTAATAATGGCAAAACCTCTTTCTACATCATCCACCAGATCCTTAATAAATACTGAGAAGAACTGGGCCCAACATTTATCCCTGGGATACACCATTGCTAACTTTGCCTATTTTGAATATGTTCTGTTCACAATGACTCTTTGTTTTCTGTCCTTAGAGTAGAAGAAAAGGCATAATATAAAAATATTCCGAATGCTACCTCCAGCATTGCTTTCATGCTCATTTGCATTTAAAGAGGATCTTCACCCCCTTTATTTTTTTTCTATCCCCTTTTGTCTTATCTTTGGAAGACATACTCATGTCCAGTGAATCCAGTATTGTTCTGCTGAGGTCTCCACCTTGCTGCCAAATGCCAGGTCTCAGACCATCAACTTCCATTCCTATGTCCTGAAGAGCTGACAGTCTCTTCCAGGTTCTTGTAGACACCAGGGGCGGACTGACCATTTGGAAACTCAGGCACTGCCCGAGGGCCCAGGGTCAGTAGGGGGCCCCATGAGATGCCCCTGGTACCTTTTTCATAGGCTTTTTTGAGTTTGGGAAAGGACACAGGGGCCCCATGATCCCCTATTGCCCGGGGCCCCATGAGTTGTCAGTCCGCCCCTGGTAGACACCCCACAATTACTGACCACCATGTCTGCTCTCCAGTCACTGTAAGTCCCTGCTCCTACAGACTCCTGTGATGGGAGAGGGGTATTCAAGGAGGCTGCTGGAGCAGGACACATTATTCTTGCCTAGGTGACAACAGTGTCAGGGGGCAAACCAGGAGTAAAAAAAAAATAACAATTGTCTATTTTAAATTGCAGAGGGCTGCAGTGGGGAAAAGTCCATCTGTGGAGTGAAGACCCACTTCCGCTAATACAAATCTGCATTTAAATACCTTTTTGTTGCTTTATATGCGGTCACATGACTGCTACCCATTGGTTCTCATGCTGTGCTTGGTGAGAAGCAGTTAGAACTTCATCACTGACATGAAAACAGGAAAAGAGTTGGGGAAGAGCTATAATTGACTGTGTACTCAGGGATGTTGGAGCAAATACTGGCGAATGCACCCAAGATTTACTGTATGTTCCCCTCATCTCTGAGCATTGCTAGAGCATGGCAATAGGTGACTGGATGGGCCCAGAATTTTTGAATGGATTATGAAGAGCCAAAACTTTCAGGTACTAATAGTGCTGGGGAGGTCAGCCATTTCAATAGCAACTGAATGGCATTGTAGGCCCAGAGCAGAAAGAATATTATTAGCAGGTAAATGTCAGGATAACCAGGTAATTGATTTTCACTTTCTTAAAGTGATTTTAAAGGCTCTGGTTTTTTTCATAAAATAAAAAAAAATAAGTTATAATTACCTGCTCTATGCAAGGATATTGCACAGAGTGGTCCCTTACCTTATCTTCTGAGGTCCCTCTGCTGGTGCTGTCCACTCCTCTTCTTCTCCTATTGCCCCCTCAGCAAGCAATGCGCTGAGAAGGAACTTATGCACTTGCTCCCAAACTGGGCTGCGTGCGTACGTAGACACACACAGTGTGGCTCAGCCCTGTCCCCTGCTCCCTCATCACTGGATTTGACTGACAGCAGCAGCAGCCATTGGCTCCCACTGCTCTCAGTGCCTCCAGTGAATAAAGGAAGAGGGGAGAAGAGCTACAACAAATGAGCACAGCACTGGATTAAAACCTTTTGACTTTAAACCACTTTAATCTAAGAAGACAATCATATATATCTAATGTCCATATTTTATTTGAAACGTGCAATAGAATTTTTTTAATGTTTGCCTGGAGAGACACTTTAATGTGTATTAAAAAAAAGCTCTTTTTTATTTTATTTTTGGATAGCATACAGAAGGTTTATAATTCCAGCTAGGTTTTTATTACTGTCTGTATTCCCATTAGGGAGAATTACTCTCCCTGTTTGTCCTGCGACCATTGTCAGTGGGACTGAAATAGAGGAAAAAGTCAGGTCAGCTCAGGAAGATTTTCATAGGAAATCTCCCCCTTTAAGACATAAGCCTGAGAAATACAAATCCATCAGGAAATGGAAGCTGTGTGACCCTTATGTGGTCCCTCAGAAAGCACAAAGAGGGAATCTGACTGCCGAACAGAAGTAGTTACGTTTAGATAACACCTTAGACACTAGCAAAAAAAACCTGGAGTTTGACTTAATGGGGAGGAGTTATAACTTGAAGGGGACTTCCTCGCTTATCTTTTTTGCCAGTGTCCAATCACCTGATGGTGCCAGCATAACATATTTGAACATGCTATGTGTCCAAGGATGTATGAAAAACAAATCCAAAATTTATTTCTGTTGTCACCAGAATATGAACAGAAGGTTAATCTTCCTCCCAAAAAACGTGTTCCTTCACTTTGAATTTCCCTCACAGGCAGGGCCGCTGCTTCCACTAGGCAAACTAGGTAGCTGCCTAGGATGCACTGTCACCTAGGGGAGCCTGGGCGCAGTGCAGGTCGGCACTCTCTCTGCGTGGCCTATGGACCTCTTGTATGAATTCTTTATTTCTCTGCATAGTCCCCCTCTCCTCATACACAGGGAATGATGAGATCTTTACTCTACACAATTGTCTCACAGCCTGTCCACACACATGACCATTTAGACAGAGGAAGATGCCGGGTGTCTGGGGCCAGTGTAGCAGCTGAGCTGCTGCTCCTTCCAGTGTTCTTGTCAGACTCGGTCCCTTACTGCAAGCCAGCTGGTGGCTGCTGATCACTGTGGAGGTTTTTAAACTGTCTCCTTTTTTTTTGTTTCTCTGATTGGTTAATACAGTTAATTTATATTTGGTTAATATATATATTGTATTTAATATTAGTGCTGGTGGTATCTTATTGCACTTATTTTTGCAAACTAAAATAAATTTTGCAGCTTCATGTTTTTTTATTTATAATCTTCTACTGTTTTTTAAAATCTTTATGTATTCATTTTTTTTTCGGGTGCTGGAAGTAGCTGGTCTTGCCTATGGTGCAAAATAGTCAAGCACCGGCCCTGCTCACAGAAAATTTCCTTAATTATTGAGAGATTCTACAGGAAATACAGTGAAGGAAAATCTACCCAATAGGACATGATAAAAGTCTGACAACAGCTCCAAACATTTTTCTTCTATATCCAAAAACAAGTAAAATTTTTGGCCGAAGTTGGGCAATACATTACACTCAATCAGGCAGACCCTCACAATGCACAATTGGTAAATGTCAATCTAACAGGTCAGATCTGAAAAAGAAAATCTCACTCTGTGGGGCCAGCATTACCTTGGAGGCATGGATTGATTTCTAATTTATTCAGAACAGAGCTGTGCCTGAAGCAATATTGTAAAGGTCAATCTGAATCCTGCACAGAAAAAAACAGCTGAACCCCTGGCTTCGGGTCTGGGGATAGTGGTGCAGGCTCCATATTTGGTGTTTGGACATAAAGCTAAGTTCAGCACCATCTGAATCTCTTCCAAACTACAGTTTTTTGTGTTTTTTTTTTTTAAGTGCTCGCGTTAATCAGAATGTGTTGTTCCTGGAAATGGTGATGAACTCATGGTGTAATCTATAAGCTATCCATTGGTGGTGTCTCATCGCATTTTCAGCTTTATGAGCTTATTTAAAGGAAACCTGTGCTAAGAAAACTAGGTAGACTCTCACTGATGATGTCCTTTGCTAAATATCAATTATTTAGCAGGAAATGAGGATCCATGAATAACAGGATCAGATCATATACAGGGCCTAGATTCTTTCCCAAGCCAATATTTAAGTATATATAAAGCCAAATCTTTTTTTTGGTATTGGGTTGGGTAGGAATGGCTTAGATGTGGAACTGCTTTTAGAGGGGTAAATAACATTTTGTATTGTGAATATTAAAAACTCCCTTTGGTTACCAATGGTTGCTACATTGAAAAACAGATAAAAATGAAGTATTTTATCTCTTAGATTGTAAGCTCCAAGGTCCTCCTAACCCTCATGTATTGAACTGTATTGTTGTTGTATTGTCTCCCGTTATATTGTAAAGTGCTGCGCAAACTGTTGGCGCTATATAAATCCTGTATAATAATAATAATATTAACCTCAAGTTCAGAATTGTCAATATAATATGGGTGGAGCTATTGCTGACCTCCATCTAAAAATGCTAGTTTCCTGGCTATATCAGGGTTAAATACTTCCTGAAACACTTATTTAGAACAAGCATGCAATGTAGAAAAGTTCTAACTTCTTATCTGCATACTTTTTCTGAGTCTGTGACTTAAAAAATACAGAAGGTAATGGCTCAACTTGGCAGTCATGGTTTTTTAGAGAACAATGTCAGCATTGGCAGCCTGTTTTTCTCAATTCAGGATTCCCTAAAAAACAGAAGTTATGAATATGCTATTGATTTTATTACAAATCTAAAAATGTAGGGTGTTATGCCTCATTTAAAGACAATTGGATACAATAGGATAACATTCCTGACTTCCATATGAACAAGCTAGCTGCCTGGCTGTTAGGCTGATCCTGTATTTATCATGCTCTTTAAGTTCCTGTATGCAACAAATCAGGACTCCAGATTTCAGTCACTTACCAATTCCAAGGAACGATGTATGTTCTCGGCATGAGGATGGAGTGTTTTCTGTCTTCATTCTAAGTGATTTTATTATTTAAATTTAATACCTAAAAAGCAGAGGAATCGTGGGTTAAAATTCTTTAAATTCATAAATTAAATGTAATTGTATGTTGGCATTTATCAAATTAATGTCAATATTTTATAAATTTGATAAATGATAAAAAGCCGTTAAAATGCTCAGCAGCATGAGATTAAACTCTCTTAGGTAGATTAGCAGGAGATAGGATTAGATTTGATTTACAAAAAATATTAACAATGTATGTGCATAATATTTTCAGCCAAAAATGAATGCTTATCCACTAAGGAGGACAGCCATATCCATGTAAACAATGATTCCCCAGGAAAACCTATATTCGTCAAGTGGTCTCTCCCCTGAAATTGGTCAAACAAGGGGTGTCTGTAGAGGTCACAGTGTGACCATGAACACATGACCATTTCCTGATCCAATCATGTCATATATATGGGTAATCCTGAAGAATATGCAAGTAAGTAAGATTCGTGCTTCAATTTATTTATCAAAATGTATTATTTAAGTTGCAAATTTGCATTTAACAGGTAGGAATAGCCTACTAAACCGAGCAAAGGTAGACACACAATTAAAGTGACAAAGGTAGGTACAACTAGAAATACATTTGTAGAAATAATTGGGTAGTAAGGAGAAGTCACAATGCAAAATATATACAGATACACAGCTGAAAGAATACTGCAATGGCCAAGTGCTGGATACCATGTAGTTTTGATGATTAAAAAATAATAATGATTTTTAATATTGCTTGTGCTTTTTTAATGAATTACAAATACGGGTGACATTTGTATTTCAAGGAAAGGGAGATCACAAATTGCAATAAATACTCATCTACTGTATAATACTACACTATATTATTATTATTATTAATATTATAAGACATTTTTTGTTATCAGTTAAAATAATTGCTAATAATACAAAACAGTACAATATAGTATTATTACTATTGGTTGTTATTGTTGTTATTATTACTTATAATGATAATAATTATTATTATTATTATTGTTATTGGTATTATTATTATTATTATTATTTTACCTTGGGTTGTAATATTCATTCTATCTTCCTAGATTGTAAGCTCCAAGGAGCAGGGCCCTCCTATCCCTCTTGTATTGAACTGTATTGTTACTGTATTGTCTCCCGTTATATTGTAGAGTGCTGAGTAAACTGTTGATGCTATATAAATCCTGTATTATAATAATAATAATACTTCGTGATTTCACACAAGATTCACACATTTTCTAATTGCATTCAACTGGGAAAATGTGTAAATCCTAGAGGGAGTTGTATGAATTTTGAGTGAAAACATTTATGAATAGACCTATTTTTACTTAATGTGATAAGTTATTTGGATCCAGCAAGATTATAAATAAACAGTAAATTTAAGTACATGAAAAAAAAACTTTATTACTTAAGTCATTGTTAAGAAACATGTATTATAAATTACTGAAAATGTTTCATTTAATATGTAACCAAAATGAACAAGATATAGTTCTATATTTTTTTTCCTTAAATATACAATAAATTAACGGATGCAATATGAGCTTTATTAAATATGTTTTGCATTGTACATGCTTTTTTTTTTGTGGTAATATTGTGGAATAAAATATAATATTTCGGTAGATCTTAAAATGTTAGAGATCAATTTAAATTATTAACAAAATACAATATTACAAAATTATCCAAAACTATCCATTTATATATATTTAATTCAATGTATATAACTTATATAATATATTATATAATTGATACAATGTAACACAGACATTTTAGTTTAAAAAAATAGGCAGACACAAGGATAGCATATGATAATAATACCAATAACACTTCAACAGTCATTAGAGCAATGATAAATTGATTCCCTTTATCAAACCTAAAATATGCAAAAGATTTTTGTTTTTTTTATCATATAGGAGCACTGAATATTTTCATGTTAATATTATCATTGTTATTAGATCTAGGAGTGAAAGTGACAAAATATTTCTATTTCTTATTTTCATTATGTTAAAAGTATTCATCTTATATGTTCTAGTAATTACTTTCCAATTACAGTCTGTAAAATAAATAATCCCCTATGTGTATTTTAAGATATATATATATATATATATATATATATATATATATATCTTAATAATAAAAAATATTGCAAAGAAAACACATACTTTAAATGATTAATATTATTATAATTATTATTAGTGGTAGTGTTAGTAGTAGTATTAAATAATAATAATACTTTTATTTTTCTTATGTTTTTTACAATAATGCTCATAGCGAATAGAATATACAAAGAATTCAGATTTTTACACCTCCACCTCTATTTATTCTGCCATATATTATGCTTTTATAAAACATATCTTAAAAGTATGCTGTTCAATGCATTTGTTATATTGTCTCTACCAATTAAGACATATTGGCCCATAGGGAAAATGAAGATCTCAAGCTTTATATTAAAAGTGAGTGAATGGCTCTCTACTTCTGGTGCATGGGTGATTTAAATAGTTAGGATTTATGAAGACAGCTATCAACTGACAATCTTAGCAGCTCATTATATTTAATTAAATGATGAATGGCTAATATGTGTATCTTTTTGCCAGATACAATTTTAAAAAAATGATGTGTTGGGGCTCAAATGATTTCCACAATGTAATAAGTTAAAGTCCAATATATAATCCAGCACAAGTCAAAAATACGTCAATTTATCTAGCACTGATAACCCTCTTCTTACCTGATCTGTATTTTTCTGCTTCTCCAGACACTCTATTGTATTCCACTATTTCTGTTTTTATCTCTATGCAAGATGTTTAATTCCTTCTCAA